TCAGTTTCCGAGCAAACTTATCAGCAAAAACAAACTTATATCTGGAAGGGACATCCACACGATCAGTTGACAGGTAACATTTTCGTCCGGGGATTTGTTTATAATCCATTTTGACATATGTTTCGTCATCCATTAAAATACAGCCATCAAATTTCGTCAAAACTCGTTCGTATAGTAATCGTGCTCGCATTTTGGCCACTAAATTGTGTTCCAGGGAGCGATTCGGATGTTAACTGGCACAAAAAGACTTATATCTTTCTCTCGAAAAGATGTTACGCACGGTGGAAAAGTTGGAATCGTATTTCTTTGCCAAATCACGTATGGAGACACCTGGGCAGTGCTGCACAATTTCAACAATACACGGTGATACTCAAAATTCTGCTTTGGTCACTCGTTTGAGCTAACAGTCATCGTCAAGGCAAACCATGTCAATTGTCAGTGGCATTTTTGTCAGTGACGAACATGTGCTGATTTGTTTATTAACTAAATTTAAAATGAAATTAAATGGCTTGAGGAAAACAATTACATGGAGCCATTAAAGTGAACAAGCATCTACGGCCTGAACAGCTTGGATAACAATAATGTGTCTCAGAATGCAAGAAATTACCCTTTCTGTTACCAGGTGAATCTTTGTCATTGACGAAAAAATGAATGAGATTTTGACAAAGATTTTTTTGAGGATCAACCCTAATAAAAAATAACCATAAACGAACGATAACCCAAATCATTGAAATATTCCACAAATGGTTTGGATGATACCCAGAACACGTCGTTAAGCAAATTAACCATACAATTTTTATTAGGGAAGTCTATCATTGACTATGTGAAAAACAATTTTGTCAATATCGCGCAAAAGTCTGTCGATGACAATGACAAATCTCAGCACTGCACCTGGGTTGCTTTTCACCTACCTCAACACCTTTCTCATCAGCTCTTTGTCCCTAGTGCCACTTTTATGATAGATGCGCTGTGCTCTATCAACACTCAGAGTATCCTTGTAACGTTTGATTACAAGACTCACCGTTGACTTTGGGAATTTTAACGCTTTTGCTACTTTTGAGGCAGACCACGAAGGGTTCTCTAGATGTTTGTGCACAATTCATTTTCCTTTCTCAAGTTCCATGATCCATAATTTCGGGATACGTCGATCAATCGGGAAAAACTTTTCACCAATTTCTTCGTCAATGAAACATCAACAAATGCCTGTCAAACGTTTTTCGTTCCAACCACCAGGGGCGCGGTGGTGTATTAAACCGTGCGTCCAGATTTACTTTGAATCGAGCTTTATTTCCCTTCCGATTGAGCAAATTAAGCGAGGAGGGAATCTCATTTTCCACGTCCATGCATACCATGAAGTTCGTACACTAGCACTTATTGAACGGTGCCAGACGCAAGCGACATTCGTACCTCAACTGCCTTTCCATTAGCATAATGGAAAGTTAACGCATCAGGACATAACACATACTTGTTCCAGATTTAAACTTGATGAATACAACCACGTCCATGTCACCTGGATTTGCATCCAGTGTTTTCAAGAAATAGGCAATCTCGCCCATGGTGAACTTTGCGCTGCCATTTGGAAAGGCAGAAGAAATTGTGTTCTTTATTTCGATCCTTACATTGTCAAAATTGTTGCTTCCAACGGTGACGGCAAAGAGCACTGACCGAGCTGCAGGCAATTAACAAAGCGCACAAAAGAATACCGCGAATACGCTATTTAATATTTTTTGTCGTAGGATTACGTCTTTCGGCAACATATTGGGGGTGCAATTTCAAAAAACCAAAATCAACCGCGTTACGAGAAGTGGTCAGGTTTTGACGACTTATAACTCTGTCAAAAGCTGATGGATTTTAATTCTAAACAAGCCAATCGATTGGAATTTTTTTTACGAATCTGCTAAAATTAACACATTATCAATTTTCAGTAGGTCACTATTGAAAATTACACAAATTTCCTACTGTTGCAATAATGATTAAAATTATCATTGATTGCCTGGAAAAAGCGCTTTCCCTAACACAGATTTCAAAATTGAATTCCATTCAGTTGCGCCGAACGGTGTTTATTCAATCACCGCGTATGGTGAGTGGTGGTGTCCGGTCGTCATCAGCAACTGCAGCAGTGCTTTCAACGCGTGACGTTGAACATTGTACACAACGAAAGACTGCCCGCAAGCAGCGCGCTGCAGCCCATATGAGCGTCCATTCACCGAAGAAGGAGGAAGAAACCTCACCGCTACTGATCGGTGAGTCGTCGTCAGGCGCTATGGCCCATCTATGCCAAGCGCGTCACTCACATTCCAAACAACATACAGCTCGCCAGCCTCATCCATATTGAACACCCTAATAGCTCAGCATTATTCAACCATCACGACAAAACGGTTATTTTTAGGACCACCATAAATTATTGTTGTTTAAGAGCTGATTTTCATTGGAAATTCGCTTGCCAGCCACATCACCCTCAAAGCTCTTTGATAATGTGCCCAGCAACCAAACGATTGTGCTCAAATGCGTAACAGCATTTAAGTGGTACACAAAAATTTTCGCAATGACCTTATCAATTAACCAGAATAAAGCAAAAAATCTCGAATTTATATGATTGATCGCGAATATCTCGCGACTTGAAAATTTCAGCAAGAAATTCTATTAATAAACCAAAATTCCGTGCGTTTTGTGCACGAAAATGCGTAATTTTCTTTTCAGAAAACAAGAAGTCTCCGTGATGGGAAGCAGTGGTTTCCCTAACACAGTCGCTGAATATTGATACCGAGCTCGCAATCCTACGTCAAATCTACGGTCGTGTCTTGGATACAATCTTTTACTTTCTTAGATTGTCCTAATAATTGCGAAGCTTTGAACGTTTTCAGATATTTCCAAAGAAACGCTGAGTAGTGTTCCAGGAGATTCGGATGAAATTTCCAAAAGGAATTCTAAGGAAAGTTTCAAGAGAATTCCAAGAAAACTGCTAGAGATCCTCTCTGGGGCATTTTGAGAAGAGTTGGGTTCTTCAGTTTTGAAAAATATATCGGTTATTATACCTCATTTGAAAGAGCTTCGATTTCTGAACACAATGAAATTTTTTCGAACCCATAGACTTTCATCTCGATGTTTAAATCCAGATTTAAAGCAAAATAATAACTTTACTGTTTGACAGTAAACTAACAAATTGTCAGCTCACTCCCATACAAAGTCCCACCGAGGGGCACTATGATGGTGATTTTTGCTACTGTAATCACACTTATTTAAAATAGTTCCAGTGCACCAAATTAATTTCGATTTTGGATCTCGGTTCCATTATTAATGCAGATTTTGAATAAGCATTTACCTCAATACCCAAGGGGTAGGTCACTCCGCACACCAATCTTGCACAAAATTCCAAGACTGATATGGAGAATTTTTTTTAGACAATATCGGACAGAATTATACTACTGAACGTCGCGTGGCAGGCCCTTTCATATTAAAGAGATCGATGGTCAAATCGTTTGTTTGTCCTGTATTTTCAGAAACTTGTCGTCTTCATCGGTGCTGGGTTTGAATGGTATGATGTGATATGAGGAGCTCGGTGGCCTTAGAGCGATCGTTTTTGCTTACTGAGCAAAACATCATAAGTCTAATCTCAGGCCCATTCCCATTCCAGATTCATCAATCGTTTTATTTGTTAATATGACTACATGGTAATAACAGCAGCTCGATGATTAAAAAGGAGCTCGTTTGCCTAGTGGCTAACATTTTTGTTTACTGAGCAGAATACCATGGGTTCAATACTAAGCTCCTTTGCGTTATATGATCGTTAGGACATCAATTCAGCTTATCGTTTACCAAAACGAATCCTGCTGCAAAATCAACTCTCTTACCCAATATTCTCGTGGAAGTGCAGAGGATTTCTCGGCTTTCATCAAAGCGAGTGTCACGTCAACACATTCCTACCATTCCTTTCTTGACCTGCGTTGGGGCGTGGCCGGCGCAGGTATTGGCTAGTTTGAGATCACCAGTTGTTTCACCTTGAGGATGATTGCTAGTCCCAAGCATCGGCTATTGATTCTCTGTGGCAATAACAGAGTATCAACCGTGGGCGGTCAATCATGCTCAATACCGGACAGAATTATAAGATTTTTAAGGGAAATCTTTAAATTAAAAGTACTTCTGAAGACTTAAGGAAAACCTTGAGAAATTTGCAAAGATATAATGAGATAAGTTTCAAAGAAATAATTTAGTAATTTCAAACATTGAAACAAATTCAAGATTCCATACATATAAATTCAAGATCCAGGATTAACAAAAAATTACAATATTCGGAAACTAAGACTGGACATTTTGAGATATTAGCAACCTTTTCCAACACAGACATCAAAAACTAAGTAGTAGAACACGATGTCAGTCTTCTTTTCATGATAAGGGGCTGTTCATAAAACACGTAGACATCTTAGGAGAGGAGAGGGGTTTGGCGTTTGTCTGTGGTCCATCAAAATTTCCATGGAGGGGGAGAGGTGAGTCTCAAATCTCGTAACAGTGTCTACGTAGTTTATGAACAGCCCCTAACGAATCTCACCTTACCCATCCTTTTTGTGGAACAGCGGATCAATGACGACTTTTTTGATGAGATATTAAAAGTTACAAAATACCTATGTTATACTGTGTCGCTCTGAGATGACTGCGGACTGTGTAAACAACTCAGACATCAGAATCCAACGTGATAAACACAAGATTTTCGAATTACACTCATCTCACATTCATTTTGTGCTATATTGAATTTACGTAAAATCACGATTGTTTTTCGACAGGTTGGATGCAATGCTTTCTTTACATTTCACGCGAATAATTATCTCATTTTAGTGTCAAAATTTAGCATCAGAGATGTTTTCAATTCCATGTTCCAAGTTTGCAAACAACCTTTTTTGCATCATTGAGGAGCATTCGGAATGCTACACCTTTCTACGGATGACATTTTTCGATTCGTCCAAGTTTTCTCCACACTGCAAGATTAGGGAGATAGTTTTACTTACCTCCATCCACCAACGAACTCCCATTACATTGTCAGCATCTCGCATTGATCGAATTTCAGGTCATCGATTTTTCACTAATCCGTTCATCGAACTTCCTCGTTTGAACCCACGGCCATCAAACTCAGTCCCTTTGCCCGCTAGACGGATTTTATGGATTCCGACGAAACGTAACACAATATACTGCGATTAGAAGCATTAAGCTTTGTTCGCAAGCAGTGAAAAATCCCCACTATGCACTAAACTACCGTGCAGAGACTGTGCAAACAGGGTCCCTTCAATCAATTTCAAGGCCACAGCATACACGCCACTTGAACGAAGAATAAAAAATGCGTAAAAGTACTCTACCGCCGAGTTTTGGCCTGGTGCTATTTTTATTCTGGAAAACCAAAATCCAATCTCCAGACAGACAAACTCCTCCTCACATAACACCATATCAAAATCAATCTCTAGAAAATGCCACACACCAGTGTGGCAGTCAGTGGTGTAGAGAGAAGAATCGATAAACCCTTGTGTCCCTTTCGGTGTGCAAAGAATGATCCCCTTCCTTGCAGCAGTAACAATCCCTGAAACCTTGCTTCTTCCATTTTCCAGCCGAAAATCGAAACTAGCCCGTTCGGTCACCCTTTCTAGTGCCACACTCCCTACTCACTTTTCACAGTTGTTTTGTGCAATCGCCACGTTCCAAGTGCCACAATTTTTCAACCACATCGGGACCACCGCTTTTGATTGCCACCGTTCCGACTTTGAACAAAAACACTCTCCTCCTGCGGGATTCCTCCGACACTGCAACCACAAACTTTTCCCCGGTGGGTCCCAAAATGTTCACTTCAAGTTCTTCACACTTTTGTGCACAAAATTTCACTGAAAAAATACTCTTGCCAAAACAACGGAGTTTTACACGCACGAACTTTTCCTCCGTCTGTGCGCTGATCTTCTTCCACAAGAACCTGCTTGCTGCTGCTTCCATGGATCCGAGAAAGAGTAAAGTTTTGACGTTTCACATTCTCCATCGCTGTTTGTGACTGGCAAGATGACACCACTACACTCACACGCAGCAGCAGAGCAATCGTCCGCACGTATCGAATGTAAACACACACCCGGAGGCACGCACACAACAGCAATTTCAAATTCGTCGTAAGTAGAAAAAAACACGAATGAAAAACGAAAAAAAAGCCAGAAGATGAACATCGCACTCGCACACCACACGACAGCCGACACTAGGAGTGGGATTTGGGATTCAAGAGCACGGAAAAAAGCGAGAAAGTAGTGGTGAGATTTTCTACCGTGGTGTCAACCTATACCATTTTTGATGAAATTAATGTCAGGACATGAAATTTATCCCAACAGCGTTCTTCAACAATACAACAACTATCCTAGCAAAAGAGTAGATGTCATGTTTCATTTAAACCTACGAGCAATATCATTTTCCAGTAGATTAAATCTACTAATTTTCTTCTGTAAACAACTTTGAATAATAATTTAGTTATGATTATTCTATCACCATACAACAAAATCCCATCTCCCGGCAACACTGACGTACCCCGTTCTTTGCGTTGCCGAGTACCGAACGGGTCATGAAAAATCGAGCAGAGAAGAGGGGAAGAAACTTACATTTACTTTTTCGCTGACGATTTTCCACAATTTGAACATTTTTGAACAGGTGAACTGATTGCCGGTCCGATACGAAATTCTTTTCGCAACACTTTACCGATAGTTTGAGTTGCGAACGGTGATTGCGTGATACGCGTAAAAAAGTTTCCCTTTTCGACCGGTGTCTCCACTACTTTGATCGCGAACGCGACGATGGGATAAATTTTTCCTCTTGGACCGACGAACGCGAAGACGAAGACGGAATGATTTTTGACGTTACAAGAAAATGTTGCTGCTGCAAAGGCACACGCACACAAACAAGGTGAAAAGTGGGGTCAATATTTCGGCGGCGGATTATCGGTACGGTAAATTTGGAATACTCATTTTTGTCATGATTTTAGTTTGGAAAACGGAACACGGAATTTGTGTTTTGTCACTGTAAATGTGGTTACCTTAATAAAATTTTGATTAATGACGTACCTGCCTGAGTACCTGATGGGTGACGACTCGTTGAATTCGCCGAACGAAGTAACCGTCTCCATTGGTCTCGGTCCTGAGCCAATCGCTTCCAGTCGCCTTGGACGTTCAAGGACCTAATGTCCTCCTCAACTGCACAAAGCCAACGCGTGCGTGGCCTACCCCGAAGCCAACGTCCTCTTCCGGGATCCCTGCTGAATATTGACTTCGCTTGACGCTCTTCCGGCATTTGAGGGAAAAGTACTTAATTTTGGGTAGTTTTTCAGTTCCATGTACCTATCGACCCATCAACTCATGAACCGGGGACCAACGGCTTTACTTCCCTTTCGATGGAAGGCGTGATCAGAGATGTTATGCCTCAGAACATCCCGGTGGCGCTGACTGGGATTGAACCCAGGCCTGCTGGGGTGAGAGGTAATCACGCTTACCACTACACACAAAAAATAATCATTGCTAAAATTAAAAAATCCATTGGTAGAATTAAAAGTTTGCGTTGGTTCTTTTTGGCAGAAAGCGGTAAGCTTTTGTATGTATGTATGTAAGGTAGCCACCATCCCTTCGAAGATCTTGTTTTGTATGCAGCTCCACTTAATAGCAAGATCAATTTGAGCTACCGATCTGAATTCACAATATCGCTGTATGAAGGGCCAAAAACGGTGGGGTGGACCCGTAAGCAGAGGTACTTACGCGAAATCCACGGGAATTTAAGAATCTCCTTCCAACGATACGATCCAACAAATCGAATAACGCAATTCGCAATACTTATTAAGCTTCCTACAGGATGGTTTGTTAAGAAGGGCGCGTCAATCTCCATGAAACTGTTGGAGTAGAATTCACACCATCACAATCGAATCGGTAGGATAAAGAAAATGATAGTGTTTATTCCCTCCTAGACTCCGGTTGTCTTACCACTCCAATCGTCCAGTTCCAGGTCAAATGATACCCTGATGCTCCCTCCCAACCCAGTATTTATTTATATATATAGTAAACATATGTAATGGAGAAATGAAATATATCAGAACATTAAAATACGTAATAATGAAAATACATTTATATGGATAAAAAAAACTGGTATTCCGCAATGAAAATAATAATTATTTTACATACAATATGATGCAGCTCTATGTCTCCTCAGCTCCCAATAAGGAAGATGTAACCCTGAAATTTCCAGGTTATATTATGCAAATAAATATTTTTAGCTAGAATGATACTTGATATGTTCGTGTTGTGTTATGTTGTGGGAGAGCTTGGGATTAAACCCATGATGTTCTTCTCATTAAGCAAAACCGATCCCTCTAAGGTTATCGAGCATCTCAAAACCAAAACACTAGATGGCAAAACATGATTAAGCCTCACCTGGTATGTAATGAACAACAGAAATGCGCGATAAATCATATATTTTTAGCATATGATGCAATATCACAACTGTTGATAAAAGGAACGGATCCCATCTTATTTAAGACCTGGATGACCTGAAATGTGTGTAACCGGGTTAATACTTATTTAAATGTAATGTAATATTGAAAATGCGTTATAATGCCATGTAACAAGATACAATAAAAACAAGATTTTTACAAAACAGATAATGAACGATTCAGATTTCTTTTCAAGCTGACACTATGCTTCCCTGGAGCCGCTCATAATAGCTAAAATTAAGAATTAAGTACACAGCAAAAAAAAAATGTAATATCGATCAACGTAATTTAAGCTGATGTATGAAATAATGATGTAATAGCAAAAAGTAGATACAATATTACATCAATGGATGTAATTTTGTTCGCAAAATCGATGTACATCGTACAATGTGATATTACACAACCGATGGATTGACCTGGTTGCAGCAGTTTTGATGTAATATTCAACAACTTTTTTTGCTGTGTATAATAAAATGTAATTTACAATAATATTAAATGATGTAAAGTCAATAATGAAAGATATGTAGTACTATAAACACTATACAAATAGGATAATCAATAGCTACCCGGTAAAAAATAACAATACAATTACCATAAAATAAAATACAATCACAACAAAATCTATTACCAACAATCGATCTTATTGTACGTATATTGTACAAGAAATTTTAAAATATGGTTATTACAATAGATTTACAATACGTCCCATATAGTAAGAATTTTCAACAATAGAACAACAATACAATTAATGGTAAATGGCTCATCTTTGTTCGGGAAAAAGTGATTTTTCCTATGGTTAAGATACATAACAACCCCCTTATTCTATTGTAGATTTTCCCATTTACCATAGATTCTATTGTGAAAACAATACATCATATGGTTATTTTATCGTTGTAGACAATATGATTTATTGTAAATACAATAAATTCTATTGTATGAGTACAATACATTTCATTGTGCCTCTATGGTTCTTTTTTTTTACGGGTAGCTTAGCTTAGATTGACTGCACTCCGTGATTGATCAGAATCAGTGAAATTGTACAATGAATCAACTGAATGGGGCTGGGAGTGACCGTCCATTCTCATTGTACAAGTTTCAGTGACTCTATATGTTGTAGATCAATAACGGCGCTGGCCACGTCCTTGCAATCAGGTGGGAGTAGGGAAGGAATATTAGAGTGAGCTTTGTTGTTTGTGGGCCGTGTTTACCTCTGCACCCCAACAAAAGACACAGAAAAGGAGATTTTGTTAGTAAGTTGGGTTCGTTGGATCAGGATTCACCTTGATAAGTGATGCGACCATGGCTTTAAATGAATCAGTGTTATCATGCATTATACTTGGACTTGCCCGAAGCCAAAACCAAATGGTGTATCATTGGGCCTTATTACGGGTGTCACTACACGGTGATAAGCAAGTGATACTCAGAATAAGAGCCGTGATTACCGTACAAATCAAATGGGAATCACTTCACCGTGACGACAAGTGACAACTTTTCACCGTGATGTGACATCCGTAATAAGCCCCATTATAATATAAATCTGAAGACGTTCCATCATCGAAATGCTGAAAATGAACTTAGAGCATGAGCATGAGCAAAATTGATCGCCCTCCGGATAAAAATAACCATACAATTACCATAACATAAAATACAATTACAAGCAAACCTATTGGCCACAATCGATCTTATTGTGCGTATATAGTACACGAAATTTTAGCATATTGTTATTACATTAGATGTATAATACGTACTATTTAGTAAGAGTTTTCAACAATAGAACAACAATTCAATTAATGGTAAATGGTTCAAGTTTGTTCGGGAAAAAGTGATTTTTCGTACACACAAAAAATTATCGTTAATATAATTGAAAAAAACATTGTTAGAATTAAAAGTTATCATTGGTTCTTTTTGGTAGAAAGTACAGAGCTTTCAAAATAAAAAGCTGAAACTTGTCAAATTAAAAGTTTCCCTCATTGTTAATTTTAAAAGTTGAAGCTTTTGAATCAAATT